CTCACAGCAACCTCCAACTCCTGGGCTCAAGCGAGTGTCCTGCCTTTGCCTCCCAAGTAGCTGGGACTATAGGCGCCCGCCACAACACCCGGCTATTTTTTGGTTGGAGCCCTCATTGTTGTTTGCTGGGCCCAGGCTGGATTCGGACCCGCCAGCTTAGGTGTACGTGGCTGGCGCCTTAGCCGCTTGAGCCACAGGTGCTGAGCCAGCATTCACTTTTTCAAATTTACATGGAATACTTATAAAAAATTTACCATGGAATGTTGGGCCATAAAGCAAGGCTCAACAACTTTCAAAAACCATGCTCACTACCTATGGTGGAACTAAGCTAGCCATAATAAAAAGCTTTAAAAAATCCCGTGTGTTTGAAAACTAAATACAGTACTAAATCATCTGTGATTTCAAGAAAAAGCAAAAATGGAAGATCAAAAAATATCTTCAACTGATTGACAAAGAAAATACCTGCTAAAATACAGAATGCAGTTAAAGCTGTACTCACTAACAGTCTAAATTCATAGTTTAGAAAGGAAAGCTTGAAGATTAATGACCTAATCATCCATGTTAACAATTTAGAAAAAACAGCACCTTAAAACCTAAAGAGTAGAAGGAAGGAAATTGTGTGTAAATTAATGAAAGAGAAAACAAGAGTACAACAGAAAATCAATAAAGGTAAACACTGGGACTTTGAAAAGACTTGTACAGCTTAATCTAACCAAGGGGGAAAAAAATGTTTTTATGCCATCTCTATTATCAGAAAGTAAAAAGGAACATCACTGTAGATCTTACACATATTAAAAAAATAGGATATTATGTACAAGTCATAGCAATACATTAAGAAATTTAGTTGAAAGGACAAAATCTTAGAAAAAACAGAATTTAACATAAGTAGAAAGTCTATATAATTCAACATATAGTATTAAAAAGGAAATTGTAGAAAACTCTTGAAAAATGAATTAAAAGAACACTCCAGGTCCAGATGGCTTCCCTCATGAATTTTACCAAAAAGAAAATAATTTGAGGAAGAAATAACACCAACTATACATAAATGGTTTGCAAAGAAGAAAGATGATTTTCCAAAACATTTACAAGGCCAGCATATCCTTTATTTTAAAAGCATATAAAGACTATACTGGAAAGGAAACATATTGGCCAACTGCTGAGCCTGCCGAAGATTAAAAAAATGCTGATGCTCAGACCTTATCCTCAAATATTGATTTTAATTGATCCAGCAGAGACCAGGTTTGCATTTTTTAAAATCATTTTTAAAAGCACCCCACGTGAGTTTAATGTGTAGTCCTAAAAAAGTCACTGGCCTAGGCCATAGGGTGAAATAAGTGAGGGGAATGAAGAAAAGCATACTACATGATTTTAATATCAAATAAAACAAAATTCATAATGCACAAAGCCACCAAGAAGACATAATGATCATGAATATGTTGTTATCAACAATAAACGTCAAAATATAAGGAATAACTGACTGAAATACCGGAATATATAAATCAAAATTTATAGGTGGAAGTGTCAACGTACCTCTCAGAAATTATAGATTAAGTAATCAAAAAAGATGCAGATTTGAATGTATGATTAATAAATTTGGTCTAATAGGTAACTACACCTAATCTATGTGAAAGATAAATTACTTTCACACTCA